AATCATAGAATCATAATGCTGTTAGCTTTTAATTTTCACGGCACCTGCAAAACTTTTGTACATAAAAAAAGGAAAGAAAAAAAAAAGAAAAAAGAAAATACGTCGACGATCATTAAAAACGAGGTATACAATTTCTCCACGTATTTTAAGCGCGCACGTAAAACCGAGCAATCCCTCCAAGTTAGTAGTAGAAAAGGAGTTACTTGTTACTTGTTACTTTATCTCCCGAGGAAAAAACTCACTTCATTGGTTTTCGTGAGATGCTGCGAAAGCGGTTAAGTCAATGCTAACGTAAGAAACTCGGTCGAGTGCAGTCTTGATTCCTTCTCCTTGGCAATGCGGCGTATAAGAGGGGCCAAGAATCTCTCTTTTCCATTTTCCCTCTGATCCCCCCCCCCCCTCGTCGTAACGAAGCGTTTACATATACAACGCCGACCGGCGGTGTAACAGACGCCGAGTAAGCGAACGGCGTGGGCGTGGAGAGTAAGGTCTTGCAGCCAAAGCCACTTGAGCATTCCGCGTGAAGCCACGTGGCGGTATTTAAGGCCTCGCTAATGCACCCACCGCATATGTATACCTCGTGTAAAATTGTTGGCGCGTTTACTTTGCCCCGAGCCGGAGTTCTCTCTCGCCGAACCTCGCCTTACCGCACGAATAAAAAACTAGTTAATGAGAGAAACGAACAAACAAACAAGCTTACAGGCATACACTCAAAGGCATTTTCCCAACGCTCCCTTTTTGGCAATATATGCGATATATGCGAATCATATCTAGAAATATTTGGATTTTTTGAGATAGGAGTAATAAATTCAGGCGTTTCCTCACGCTGAGAAGCAATATTTTTGCAAATACATTCGTCACTTTCAACTTTATAAATTTTACCTTCATATATCATTAATTATACTCACATTGTACGGCAATGTGTCTTATAATTATTCATATGCGACAATCATCGTAATGTTTTCTTATGCTATGAATAAGCGGAATATATAATTATCTAGTTAATTTATCTAAATAATATTAATTCGATAATTTATAAGGGAGAGCACGAAAAATATCAACGCATGGATTCAGCGTGTGGTTTCAATTGACACATTAATTAGAGACAAGCAGCGCACGTGTCTCGTTTGCATATCGCCTTTATCGTCTCCGCATGTACTACCAAGACCGGAGAGAGAGAGAGAGAGAGAGAGAGAGAGAGAGAGAGAGAGAGAGAGAGAGAAGAAGAGAGAGAGAGTA